CTACCAGAACTCCTCTCATGATGTCTCGCGTTTGTTTATTAATGTTCAATAACAGCATCTTAAGCTTACAAAAAACATCAAAAAAACAAACTCGATGGTCTTATAAAATGACTTGGCACCTCAAAACTCTTACAAAATGAACACTTGAAAATCTACAACTTTGCCTTTTGGGTGCCCTGTTAGAAAATGCCCTGGTTAGGGGGCTTTTTGTAACTACAAAATGCCTATATATAAACAATTTATAGTGGGGTCGACCCCTTCCATTCTGTAAGGGAAATTCCAAGGGGGATAGCCATGCATGTTTGTCCGGTACCAAAACACCAAGAAATGCTACCTGCTACATATTCAACAGGCGACAACAGCAAACAGTGTGCTCCGTGTGGGTCGCCACTTGATCGATTGCTCGAGCTTGGCCTTTGCAACGCAACAATCCTGCGCCGTGGCTACAAACGAAATCTGGACATTTTTGGCATTTCAAAGGCGAAGGCTACTAATCATTCGGTTTAGTGTCTTCAGTAATAAAGGCATTCAAGTTTCGGGGGCGTCCCGGTTTTGATCTTTACATCTATACAAGTACCGTCTATACCACATCCTAGCACTGCAGATTCAATATTGTTTTGCGAAGTTTCAGGTATTGGGCGACTGCTATCGCGCCCTAAACTTGCACTTGCGATGAACGGAAGGTGTCGTATTTTCTTCGGCACCTGGCACTTGTTGAATCCAAAATAGACAACAAACAAAACAAATGTATGTTCACGCGGGGGCAACCAAAAAAATCATTTGCCTACACTAAAAACTCATCTTGATAAATTTTCACTCCACCATGGTTTACACCAAAAACATAATTTTACTCCAAGTGTCCGTCAATAAATTCTTTCAATGTGACAGTTCCATCGCCATCGTCGAGAATGTGAAACAAAGCTTTGCTTTCCTGAAGCCCGGACAATTTAAACATGCATGCCCATACTTATTTTGGCACTTCAGCTCACACAATTTCCCAGCATAGGACCCCAAGCGGTGAGTTTCGTGAGTTATGCAGGATCTCTCATGGTCACGGACGAGCTGTGAAAGGAGTGTCAACCAATTTGTCTAGACGTCAGCACGGTCCGCCCCAGGAACCTTACAATGCCTTAACAAGATGTCCCAAGATCTCTTTCGAGGATCCCTGCGATTTAGCTCGGATCCTCTGGGATCTGATATGGATCTACGTTCCTGATCTCTGAAAACTCTAAAGGCTACCCTTGTGTCCCCAGAACTCTCCACCAAACCTTTGCACAAGGTCTCTTCAGAATTGTAAAGGGTATCTTGAAAGGACCATGTTTCAAAGATGCACAACGGCTCTCTAGGGTATCTCTTTTTGGAAGAAATCTCTGAAGAATGTCTCTTTTACATCCTTTAAAAAAAAATCTCACCTAAAACTCCAGGCAAGGGGATCTGTACAAGGTCTTCGGATTTCAAGGCAAGATCTTTGGAATAAACCTCTTCACAAAATCCCTCTAAAATACTTGTGAGTGCATGGACTCCTTCGGAGTTCCGATGAACTGATTTTTGTGCCAGCTCTTTCTCTCGAAAGGATGTTTGCAAGAGACTCGGGGAGGTTGTGCACACGATCTCAAATATGGATGTCTCGATCCCTTTGGAAAGGTACAGGATCCCTTTAGAAGACGTCTGTGCAAGGAAACCAGGGGCAAGATTCCCCCCCAGTGGATCTCTGTGGAAGGCCTCATCCGCATGCCAAAAGATTGCAAAAGGAAAAGTATTGCAAAAGGCTGTTCCGTCCCTGACTGCATGTGGAATTTCATCCGGTAACCACGCAGATCGATCCAATTAGGCTGGGATATTTCAGGGCAACTTGCAATGCTCAAATAGAACTTCTAAGAATGAAATTCATCTTGCATACGTGAGCCGGACATAGCGTTGGCATTATGAAGTCTAGCGCTGAGCTAGCACGAAACAGTAGCGCTGAGGTGGTGATTTGCTTGATTCAGGCGCGATTCCGCTTCATACGAAGAGGAAAAAAAAACAAATAATGTCGGTCATGACTTTTGACCTCCTGAGTATAGAAGCTGTGACAGCCTTTTTTGGGGTTCCGCGCGATTGAGGCCTCTGACATGCATGTCCGACAACTGCAAGTGAAAACAGCTCCAAAAATTGTTCCCGCTCGATCAATATCAGGGATCGCTTCAGCTGTTGAACTTTGCGCACTGGCACTTCTAGATCTTCTAGCAGCGCGCACATCAACTTTGACCTATTCTTGCATCCTCTTGGGCGTCTATGCTATTTTACTCCGGCCTTCACGTGGTCTGTCTTCCTGATTCTCATCCTGGGCCGTCTGGTACCTACATCTTCTATGACCTTATCTGCGACATATGCGCGTCACAAGCGAGCTTCCGCGTCACATCCGAAACCCCTTTTCCCCCCAAACCCATTTCTCAAATGGCAAACACTGTAGAGCCTATATCCTCAGGATCCCACCGAGACCAATCACTCACCCTGGAGC